CCTGACTCTCGGTGACCCCATGCCCAGTGGCCTGAGTCGCTGCCCAGTGTACTGTCCCACTTGCGGTTGGTTGTGAATCTGACCCTGTGCTCCACAGGGTTTCCACTGGCCAAGTTTTGGAATACACCACAAGCCTCTCTTCCCAGCCCATCTTAGTCTGCCAGCTCAGCTGAACCCTGTGCCGTGTCCCTGCCACATGCAGGCCTCTGCTGACAGACGGGCAGCGGCTGGACATGAGGAGCACTGGCTGGGACTCGAACCTGGGGATCCTGCATGGAAGGCAAGAATCCCACCACTGAGCCACCCCTGCCCCTAAAATGAAATGAGTCAGGCAACTCACCACCGGAGCACAAAGCAGGGGCCATCTAGTCTCCTCCAGCTTCCTGTTGACCCACATGCACCCAGGACTGTGCTTCAGTTTAGGGTTTCCAAATACCAAGGTGCTGGAATGAGCGGAAGGTACACCCCAGCCCCCGAGATACAGAGCAGGAGACGAGGCTCCCAGCCCAGAAGAGCTGAGGAGACAGCAGGGCTCCAGCGGCTCCACAAGGACGTAGCTGTCCTTGTGGGTGTGTGATTTTGTCCAGAAGCAGTGAGTGCCAGGAGGGCTCTTAAGACGAATCTGATGTGTCGAGCACTAGGCAGCAACACTGGGAAACAATTAGCTGTGAGAATGATTTTCAAGGCTGCTTGACTTCCCTCCTTGGGATATGTCGCTTCTGTGGAAGGCAGGATTCTACTTTGTTCTCCTTGGCTCCATGTCAGGGAGCTGAAGGGGACAGCCAGACAGATAAGGAAGTCTTCCAGGGGCCATCGGGGAGACATGCTACGTGTATCGAAATAGATCCAGATTCAAGCATGACTGCTAGGACAGGCAGGGTTCCCTTGCACGGGAAGAAGAAAGTGTTGAAAACAACTGCATGATGTGATGTTCCACAGGATGCAAAGGCCAAAATGCAAAAGCCACCTAGGAAGTAACAAAGTCAGGAAGCTACCTAGGAAGAAATGAAGTCAGGAGGCCACCTAGGAAGAAATGAAGTCAAGAGCTCTTAAACAAGCAGCTGCCATAGCCTCTGCAGTTTCTCAGTCACACTCCTGTCATTGCCTGTCACTTTGATGGCAAAGTC